TATCCTCATAAAGTATTATACACCAGATACAAACAGGAACTCAAAATCAGTCATAGACTTACATGAAAGGGCTAAAACTATAGAATTCCTAGAAGAAAACACAGGAGTAAATCTTTATGGCCTTGGGTTAGGCAATGGTTTCTTAGATATGACACCAAAAACATAAACTAAATGAGAAAAATAAAGGTCACTTCATCAAAATTAAAAAAAAAAAATCTCTGCATCAAACAATACCATCAAGAAAGTAAAAAGGCACCAACAGAATGGGAGAAAATATTGGTAAGGGTCTTGTATTCAGAATATATAAAGAACGGTTACAACTTAATAAAGAAAAGACAACTCAATTAAATAGTGGGGAGAGGATTTGAGTAGACACTGTCTTTGAAGAAGATATATAGTCAACAAACACATGAATATAAACATATTTAGTCATGGGGAAATGCAAATCAAAATCATGATGACATACCACTGCATACCAACTACAATGGCTGTAATAAAAATACAGATAGTAACAAGCATTGGCAAGGATATGGAAAAACTGGAAACTCCACACGCTACAGGTAGGAATGCAAATGAAGCTGCCATGTTGGAAGACAGTCAGACAGTTCTTCAAAATGCTAAACATAATTGTCACATGACCCAGCAATTTTGCTTTTGAGCATATACATAAGAGAAATGAAAACATACATCTACCTAACAACTTGTACATGAGTATTCGTAGCAGTATTATCTGTAATAGCCAAAAAGTGGAAACAACCTAAATGTCCACAGCTGAGAACTGAATAAACAAAACTGGGATATCTACATAGTGAAATGTTGTTTGACAATGAAAATGAAGAAACTACTGACTCATGGTACAACATGGATGAACCTTGAAAACATCATGCTAAGTAGAAGAAGTAAGATGCAAAAAAGCCACATGTTACATGATTCCATTTATATAAAATGTCTGGAATAGGCAAATCCTTTGAGAGAGAAAATAGATTAGTGGCTGCTGGGGGAAAGTGTTCAAGTGGGGGGTGGCCAGCAAAGAGTGACTGCTAGTACCTACAGGGTTTCTTGTAGTGGTATTGAAAGTTTTAAAATTACGTTGTGGTGATGATGGCACAACTGTGAATATCACTAAAAAGGGCTGAAATGGTGACTTTAAATGGATGACTTTTATGACATATGAATTATATCTACGGAAGTCATGTTAAATCTGCTATAAAAACTTCTTTTATGTATTTATTTTTTAATTTAAATTCAGTTAGCCAACATATAGTACATTATCAGTTTCAGATGTAGAGTTCAGTAACTTATCAGTTGCATTTAACACCCAGTGCTCATCACATCATGTACTCTCCTTAATGCCCATCATCCAATTACCACATCCTCCCGCCCACTTTCCCTTCAGCAACCCTTGTTTTATTCCCTAAAGTTAAGAGTCTCTCGTGGTTTGTCTTCCTCTCTGATTTATTCCCATTCAGTTTTCACTCCCTTCCCCTATGATCTTCTATTTTGTTTCTTTAATTCCACATATGCGTGAAACCGTATGATAATTATCTTTCTCTGATTGACTTATTTTGCTCAGCATAATACCCTCCAGTCAAGGGTATTATATCGATGCAAATGGTAAGTATTCATCCTTTTTGGCAGATGAATAATATTCCATTGTACATATGGACCACATCTTCTTTACCCATTCATCTGTTGATGGACATCTAGGTTCTTTCCATAGTTTGGCTATTGTGGACATTGTGGCTATAAACATTGGGGTGCAGTTGCCCCTTCTTTTCACTACATTTGTATCTTTGGGGCAAATACCTAGTAGTGCAATTGCTGGGTCATAGGGTAGCTCAATATTTACCTTCTTGAGGAACCTCCATACTGTTTTCCAGAGTGGCTATACCAGCTTGCATTCCCACCAAAACTTCTTTTAAAATGCAAAACTAGCTGTATCTGCTACAAGAAACTCACAAAATATGAGTGTACTAAAGGGGAGAAATGTCAAAATATCACATTAATACTGATATTGATCATATTTTGGAGGGCTTGCACTACGCCAGGCCCTGCTCTACAGCTTTTCACAAGTCAGAACTCATTTAATCCTCATAATAACCCTATGAGGTAAGTTATTATCCCTATTTTATAGTTGAGCAAACCAAGACACCCGTTTCACACAGCCAGCACTATCTCAGGCAATTTAGTTGTAGAGCCCGCAAAGTCAATCCCCTGTCTTTCAAGAAACAAGGTCAACTTCTGGGACTAGTAGGTATTCAAAGCTGCCTCCATCTGCCCAGTAAGAGTCCAATAGGGCAGCTCAGGTCTTAGACCGTGAGGGTGTGTCCAGTTGTGCTCCGATTGAGCTTTGAGGTGATGGGAAATGGAGGTCAGAATTCATGTTCTCCCTTTTCTGTGAAGTGGTGGATAAGCAAACCCAGAAATGTTCCCACACCAAGAGAGAGAGAAGTCCAAATTAGAGTTATTATGTCTGGTTTCACAAGGAAACTTTGAATGGCTGTGAGGTAGAGTTCTCTCTCTTCTGAACTCTATGCATTTTTATAACACAAGCAAAGAGAAATTTGGGTATGCCAGCAGCAGCTTTTCAATTCCTGTCTGAGAAAAAATTAACATTGTTCCCAAGAACAGGAAGAGGTTTGGGGTGAAAGAGAATGCACTGAAAGTGTAACTAGGTTATCAATTATGTTACTCAACCACCAGACAGAGACCTGTCTCATGCCTAGAAAGTGTCTTGGTCTTCCTTGGAGATGACTCAGAATTAATGGGACTCTGGTTTCCTCTGCTCTAAGTGTACTCAATTTCTAAGTGACTGCTTTGCAATAAGATTCAGCTGCTCAGGTTGAGATTCCAAGAGGATGAAACTGCTTTCCAGATGTTGCTAGAGTCAGAGAGCCCAGATCTCTGTAGCCAGCCCTATAGATGTTCTCCTCAGAATTCCAACTTTCCCCCCACCCCCCAACCCACAGAAACACACACACACACACACACACACACACACACACACACACACACGACCAACAAGGCCAGGCTTCCTTCCCCAAGCCAAGGAAGTATTTCATCTAGCCTAGCTGCAGGCACAGAGGTAAAGTGTTCTTTTTTTTTTTTTTTAAATTTTGGGGATGTGATTACAAAAGTCATGCACTGTCATTATGAAAAGTAAAAAGATGTTCATATCTGACTTCAAGCACTTGGTGTGTCAGGTACTGTGCTCATGAATTCACTCCAATGACTTCACTTACTCATCCCAACAACCAACCCATTGAAGCAGGTATTATAACTATTACTTCCAATTTACACATGAAGAAACTGAGACTCAGAATGGTTGGACAACTTTTTCAAAGTCACCCCATGGCAGAACTAGGGAACAAAACCCTGTTTGAGTTTAACCCCTACACTGCATTGTTATAATGCAAAAGGGAATATGTGATGTCCTGCAGAGAAGGGCAACCAAAGAGTGTGAGGACTAGATGACGTCCAGGGTGCAATGTATGAGGATACAGCATAGGCAGCTAAGGGCAACACTGGTGCAAAACTATCCAGAATGGCAACACCTCAGCTACTCCCAAATAGGCTCTTCCTCCCTGGAGCCCTGTCTTGGTTAACACCATGAACACCCAAGCCAACAGATCACCAAGGATGAGCCTCTGCTCCTACTTCTCCCTCACTTCCCCAGATCCAAAATCCCCAAGTTCTCTTAGTTACACTGCCAACTATCTGTCCCCTCTTTCCCCTTCTATCATTTATTCATTAATTCAGAAAAGGAGTGAGGGCAGGGGTCCTGGCCTCCCTCTCCAGTATTTTTAAAATAATTGCCTCACCTCTTTAATGCATCCAAGGTGTGGCACTTAAGAGGTGCTCAGGGAGTGTGGAATGAATGAATGAATGGATCTTCTGCACTAACACCAGGGTCTTTCTAAAAGGTAGTTTAAATCATGGCACTCAGAAACTTTCAGAGGTTACGTATTTTCTCCAGCATGCAGTCTTAGCCTGGCATTCAAGACTTTTCACAACAGGGATCACATCAGCCTAAATGTGAAAGCTCCATTCAAACAAAATTACTCATGCTGACGCAAACTTTCTTGTCCCTTCTCTTGACAGACACACCAAATCTCACATTGGACTTCTTATATTTCTCAGTCTCACTTCCAGGCCAGGTGAGGGCTGAATAATAGGCTCTGGCCAGTGGACTCCTCCCATGATGCAGGATCCCCCAATTCCTCCTAACCTGAGATGTTGCAGAAGAGATGGATGGGTTGGTCCCTGAGAGGTTCCAAGTCTTTATGTTACCAGAGTATGATCTATCCTCTCCTGACCACTCCACACATCTTTGGTCCCACTAGTCTGTCTAGAGAGAGGTTTCTCCTCTTTCTCTCCAGTTGAAATTCCTATCATCCTTCAAGTTTCAACTACAGTATGACCTCCTCTTGGAGTCAGTCACTCCCACCTATCTTTACTCTCAGAGCACTATCATTACCTCTATTTCAGCGCAGAGCAGAGCTCAGCTGACAAGAAATATAGAGGCTTGTCTATCACACAACACTTGAAGTTTAAAGAGCATGGACTGCATTTGTTTAATTAATTCTGTCTCCCACTGGACTTAGCCCTTTGATTTGTACTTAGAAGTAGTTAGTGTGCACCTAATATTAATTGGGTCAGAGGAAAAAGTATTTACCCCTTTACCTCAGTGTATTCAACTGGGGGTGGAAAACAAAAGCTTGACCCATCTGAGCCTGGAGGGCACAGTGGTTCACAGGGATTAGAGAAGGTTTCAGGTGAACAGGTTTCTAGGCAGGGTGTGTGTGTTGGGAGGTTGTTCACAGAGCCTCGTCATTGCCATCCCTCCCCAACTCCCCCAGGAAATCCAAAGCCTGTGCACAATCTGGGGGAGCTAGCAAAGAGCCTCTGTAGCTTCCAACTGTTTACCTCCTGGGTACCATGGTGACAGGAGATTGGTCACCATGGCAACCCCATTATTTACCAGACGCAGCAACCTCTGGCAGATAGTGAATGAGGACAGAAAAGGCATAAAAACTGGTACACCAAAGACAAGGGGCACACGCAGTCCTAGCCAAAGTCCCCACTAAAGAGATTAAGATCTTGCTCTGACCAGTCAGTTAACCACAGAGCGAACATTCAGCTTCTCGCATCCCGCGCCCAGCAGGGACCTCATTTATAGCTGAACAGAGGCTGAAGAGGAAAAGAGCATGTGCTTGGGCATTCATGGGAAGTAAGGACAGTTTGTGTCTTCCCTACCCCTACTCCTACCAAAGGAGCTCCCACCAGCTCAGTGAAATCCCAGCTGGGTTCCCTAGCCTGGCAGAATTTTCAAGAATCCAAGACTTTGGCATACAAGACCTGGTATGGAGAACACAGCCATAATAGTCACCTCCCCTCTCTTTGCCCAACTTTTCACTGCCCTTTCCAATGATTTCTCACTGAGGGAGTATGTGACTTTGTTCCCAGACGATTATATTATTACTGGGTTTTATGAAGGAAAGTGTGTGTGTGTGTGTGTGTGTGTGTGTGTGTGTGTTGTGTGGAAGGCGGGGGAGGGAAGTGGTACTGGTGGATGGTCCTTAGAAAAAGTTAGGGGTCTGGACAGCCCAGTCGGGGAAAGAGCCCAAACCCAGGTGGGAGCACCACTGCCTTGTAGTTTGGGGTACTAAGGACCGTATCAACCCATTTCCCCTTTGGAAGATTTGGTGAGGAGTGTCCACTGTCAGGCTCTCTGGCTTCCAGGCAAGAGGTTGCAGAGCTCACATTGGGAGTCCTGAGCAAGCAAAGAGCTTGTTGGAGGCACCTGACCCATGGACAGAGGACTTCGGGTCCTTTCTGCTCTTCCTTCCCTTCATCCTCAGCCACAGTTCTTGTCTAGCTGGAGATACCCACTTTAGAATGACAAAGTATAAAATCTCAGTAACAGCATAAAGTAGGGCAGTTGTGAATTGAGGAATTACAAAGGGAGAAAAATGAAACAACTCTATCTCCCTAGTCATCCAGCTCCAGCTCTTGTTGGGGATTGCCGGGAATCCCCAGGACAGCCAGAGTGTGAGGAAAGGCTGGCCCAGATCCCTTGAGAATAGTGAGTGGGGAGAGAAAAGCCTGAGGACTTGGACAGAAAGCCCGTATGATTATCGGGTTAGGGGATTGCAAAGGATCAGAGGGCCTGCTGCCCTTCTCCTCAATACCTAAGCACTAAGCCCAGAGGCCCGGAGCGGCCAAGATCGCAGATTCTGATTATCATTTAAAAAAAAAAAAAAGAAAAGGAAGAAAGAAAATTGTGATTGCTCACTTCCCTAAATAATTTAAACTCTTTACCTCCTCCTCAGCCCACCTGTCTCTGGATCCCCAACGCTGAGTAGGGTCTAGCAGAGGCAGTCCCTCAACCCTGGTCCACTGATCTCCCTAGCTCCTGCTGCTTCCAAACCACAGACACAACTTCCCCACATGCAGTGTGGACTCAAGGAGACTCTGCAAATCCCTGACCTAAAACCACAGAAATGAGGCAGGGCCAAAGATCCTCTTCCAGGACAAGCCGTGTTGGAGGCGTGGGGCCCGGCCTCTGGGTTACAGGTTGTCTTAAGGAGGTGTTCCCGGGTTGGTGCCATTCCCAGACCCCCTACCTGTCCCCAGTGGGAGCCAGTCCAACTCTTTCTGCCTCCGGCTCCGACGGCTCAGCCCGGCTTGGCCCAGTGCGGTTGCCGGACGTGAGTATAAGGGGTGCGATGGACTTGGGCACAGGGGCGGCTTTGTCCTGTGATCTGGGCTGGAGTGGGCGGGGTGTGCCGGGGATGGGAACAGATGCCCTGAGCGGGCCCTTTCCTCTGCCGCTTTAACTCGCGGAGACGTGGCCCGTTTCAGCACCGGGGGCTGCGGACAGCGCCACGACCGCACTAGCGCTTCACCAACCCCACTGCCCAGCCGGGAAATTTTAAATCCACCTCTTGTCTGGATGGAATCAGAGACCCAGTACATCTCCCAGAGCCCCCAAGAACTCCCAGCTTAAGAGCCCCTACAATCCTTACCCGCTAAAGTTTGAGTTCTTTGCAACGCGCCTCTGTCTGGCAAAGCGTCTCCTCCTCGCTCCCTCCGGGTTCTGGGCAACAGCTCTGGTCTTACTCTCGCCCCAGCGCTCTGGCCCCAGGACCCTCCTCTGCGGATGGCGGAAGGAGTCTGTTGCCTTCCTCTCTCTCTCTCTCTCTCTCTCTCTGGGAAAGTCAGGTGAGGCTCTGGAGTCTCAAAGGCGGTCCTGGAAGAGGCAGAAGCTGCCCATTCCTATCAGCATCCCTTCCAGGGGAAAAGTGGGCGAGCCAGGAGCAACAAAACAGGAAAGTCTGCGTGTCAACTCTCGACTCTCTCCTAACCGGGAGCCGCCACCTTGGACTCTTCCTGGGATGTTTTTACCAGTAATGTAATCCACACTGGATGAGGACCGTGCGGAGATCTGGGAGTCTGAAGTTTAAAGGTGGGAATATATATCTTTTAACTCACTTGCAATTTAGGGAGGGTTTTAGAAACAAATCTCTCTTATGGATATCGTGTATTCTCCTTACAGAGCTTTGTTCCCTTCTGCCAGAACGGACACCACCCTATTCCCTGACCTAAACATTAAAACTCACCAATCCAGCCAAAGGAACTTAAACTCCTGTTGGAGAAAAGAACTTAACAAATCCTCCCCATTTCTCCAGACTCAATTTCCCCACAGAAACCATATTTTTAAGTACACACCTCTTCATCAAGGATGAAAACCTAAACTCACCTCCCCCACTCTTTGGTTCTGGATTGCAGGAACAGGTCCCAGAAGGAACCTAGCCTTCTTGTCTGGGATGATATCTGGAAGCCTTTTGGATACCAGGTTCCCATAGCTGACACCCTTACGGGAAGAAACTGCAGGAGAAGATCCCACAGCAGCTTGAAAATTAGAGGACTTGGAGCTCATGGTATTTCCTGAACATACCTATTAAATTGTCTATTCAAAGGAGCAGATTGTCTTTAGAAGGCTTAACTTCTTGAGTTCATTCAATACTTGGAGAAATCAAGTGTACATTATTCACTGGGGAAATAAGGAATTAGAATCTCTCTCTCTCTCTCTCTCTCTCTCTCACACACACACACGCACACACACACACACACCTTAAAGGAGGAAAGCAAAACCCAGAAAAATTTTCCCCAAGGAAATGTCAGGTTTAATTGTTCAGATTCAAGGCATTCTGATAGTGGGAAAGCAAATAAATGGAAGTGGTGAATCAACAAAATGGCGTTGAAGCCAGGGAAGTTGGAGGAGAGGAGAGTTCTTGTTTTATTATTTGGGTTTCTGGAAGAAATCTGAAGTGAACCTAGCACAAGTGAAAACATAATTCATGAGAGTATGCCTCATCCAAACCTTTGGCATCCTTGATCCAAAGACTCTCCAGCTTACATCAGTTACCTTGTATAATTTTTCTGCAGCCCTATTGTCAGGAAATACTTTCTTTTCTCTAATCCTAGTAATTTATACTACAAGTTAAAGCTGTTTCTTGTAGGAAAAGAAGGGAAGATTGAAAGCAGATGGTTATCATTTATTGTCCAGAAACATTTCAGAGCTTCAAAAGAATCCTAAATATTGATTTGGAGAAAGTAGTAGGTACCATGAGACAATTTTAACACATAATACTGAAAGTGAAAAATCCCTTTGGACTTTGTTTTTGAAATGCAGACCATTCCTCAGATCTGAGGGGGGACACAAGACCTTACAAAATTAACTTATAAAATGAAGTGGAGAAGTGTCCTGAATTTGACAAAATGAGGTAGAGCATCAATGGCAAGACTGGGGACATAATTAGCCCTTAGGAAATGATGTGTGTGACAATAGTTATTACTGAGGAACTTTCCATACCTGAAAGGTACAGATAAACTGAGACCAGAAATGAGCAGAAAGAACCTGGAGGAGATATATTTGTGAATTTGCCTGCAAAAGGCAACCAGCAGCAAGATTCTGGGCTGTCAGGAAAGAGGGTCCAGATTTGGCCAAAGAGTCACTAAGTGGGGTGGCCTCTGGGGATCTGTCCTGTTCCTCAGGTTTCATCTGAGGTACAACCAGGTGTGTATGGCACAGCATGGAAGGGACAGCAATCCTTTGTCAAGATGGAGAATACAGTCAGCACCAAGCAATCCCAGATGAGTTAGTGGGTGTCCTAAGAGGTCCATGGCACCAAGAGGCCCAGGAGAGGGAGCCTCAGAAACCTAAAGCCTTGTGCCAGAATAGGGAGACCTCAGGAGGAGGGAGCTATGGATAAGGCACCATTTCCTAATTCCAACCAGGCAAGTGATATCGGGGTGGGGGAGGACCAGGTGAATCCTAGGTTGCTTCAGCCTCAAGCAGTACTTACTAAAGAAATGAAGAGGGGTCCATGTGGGAAAGAGTGGCACCCAGGCTTTAGGAGCTGAGGAAAACTGGACCTGGGGAAACTGGTATGACAAGTTCTACCTGCCTGTGATTTCACTGCCAGAGAAATAAAAGGATAAAAACTAGCTGTGCCCAGAGGGATTGAATTTGAGCATGAGCATGAACCTATGGCTTAGGGGACTCCCCAGGAAGATGTAGTTTTAATTGTTTTTAAATTTTAGAAAAAGTGTGATTATGGTCTATGTAGTCTGGGATTTGCTTCCCCCCCCCAATTAAGATTCAGTGATGTTACTTCTAGTAAGAGTTCTTTCAGATTTGCTGTGTAAATATATAATTCATTATTTAATCTGGATGCCTATTATATATTTTGATTTAAAAAATTGGGAGGAGGAAATAAATTTTTCCTACTCTAATTGTGCAAAATCTGCCCAGTCCAAACAAATTTCAGATGTGCTGGGGACTTGATGTTTACAGACCAGTGTTGAAAGTCATGTAAATTGTGCCTATAGGTGGGCAACTTCTGCCTCTTCTGCTGGGGGCCATATGGTGTCCAGTGTGTTAAAGAACACACAATCTGATAAGGAGATGAGCCAGACTAGCAGATGATAAGTAGAAATGCAAACAGATAAGCTCAGTTATCAGTAAGGGGGAGAGTGTGGGCTTGCTCTGGCAGATGGTTTAGATCCTTGGCAAATGATAAGGCAATTTGTAGGAAGGGCTTTTGGGAAATAAACTATTTATTCAGAGGCAGGTGAGGTTTGCATGAGAAGCAATGATGCATCAACTTCCCCAGCAGGAATTCTCTCAGTCAGTGCAAAGTCATCAGAGGGAAAAGGCCCCGAGGTGGGAGAAGCAGCAGTTTTCAGTTTCTAAGGCCACTTTGCCTGCTTCTCAGGCAATGAAGTTGATAGTCTATTTCCCTCACTTACCTAGAAGCTGGCAAAATAGAAGGAAAATAAAGTTGAATTAAGGAGATGTGAAGACTTGTAAATTCTGTCCAAATATCATTAAGAGCCTAAGGAGGGCTGTGGCGCCCTGGGATCTAATCTACTTTGTCCGCTGGAGATGTCCCTTCAGGTCAGCCTTGCAGGCAGTCAAGTCTGCTGCCTCTCTCTCAGAAAGTCAAGTAAGGCTCTGGAGCCTCAGAGGCCATCCCAGAAAAGGTAGAAGCCACTCGTTCTGACCAGTCAAATCTCTATCTAACCATCATTGTCTGGAATTCCACCGTCAGAACTTCATTTTTATTTTCAAGTTTTGATATCTTTTACTTTGTTGTCCTTGTTGTTGCTGCTGTTTTTACATAATCTCTGAGCCCAGGTGGGGCTTGAACTCACTACCCCAAGATCAAGAGTCTCATGCTCCACCCACTAAGCCATCCAGGTGAAACTCTGATCCTTTTTAAAATGCAAATAACTCCAGGAACATTGGACTGAGGGAAGCATTTGATGACCCTGGAGACCAGTAAGGGTATGATGGCATGGTTGCCACAGCAGGGGCATGTAGAATTGACAGGGGCAAAGGTCCAGGTGAGAGACACTGAACACCCAGGGCAAACTTGGTCCCTATCACAACTAAGCCTGGTCTTGGCCCAGAAGAATCACCTGAATTTTCCTATAAGCCTAAAGCCTTCATTTTCCACCTACAAAAGGACCATCAACTTTTCTAATTGTTAAAGCTGGCAAATGTGTCCTGGATGCAAGGCTATTTCAGTGAATTATGACACAAATGTCATCAGAGGAGCTTATTACTAGATGGGATGTGCCCTGGGGTTCAGGGCTCCTCAGGTCAACATTTTCATCCAGGCCTTGGGTAAACAGATGTAGTCTTCTGTATATTTTAATATACAGAAATTATTCTGTATGTTATTCTGCATGTACAACTAACATGCAGTCAAGAAATGCAGCAAATGATGACTGTAAATCAGGATCCAAAAAAACGTTGAGAACTTTTAAGGATGGGCTGGATACACAGACCAAGAAAAAATGTAATAGGAACACATGCAAAATTCTGTACCAGGGTCCAAAAGGGTCCTTTTAAGGGTCCAAAATAATCAGCCACTCTAGTACAGAGAGTAGAGGCCTTGCTTAGCTGACCTCATTCAATATATGTGAAGCCTCAGGATGACATGTCTCCACAAAACCTGCCAAAAAGGTCAAGACAAATAATGCTGACTTGATAGTAGTACATCAGGTAGAAAAGAGGTGAGTCTTGCTCAGCTATTCTCTTTTCAGCATACCTGGATTATTTTATTTCTTCTTTCCTTTTTTCTTAGTAATTTATTTTTTTAATTTTTTTCATTTAAATTCAATTTTTTTGGGTCACTACATTTTAAAGATGTGTTGCCCAGCAAAATTATATTAATAGTAGAACTTTAATATCAAATCAATAAATTAAATTTATATTTTATGTTATGTTCTAGTGTTTCTTCACATACACGTCATTCTCTTTCACAGTGATACTAACATGTAAATACAATTTGGTTATTCTATAATTAATTAGCGTCATATCTTGAGAAATAGCTTATCTTGCTGTGTTAGTTTCCAGTGATTTTTGGTCAATGTCCAAATTATTTATCACTGGTCATGATCATGGCCAAATGAATTACATAATTAATAGAATGATTTACACAGTTAATGACCTTCTTATGTACATTTAAATTATTTCCCATTTTCCAATCCTTTAGCTGACTGCCAGGAAACACCTTTTCCTATTTTGTGTAACTATTTTCTTAGGTTATATTCCCAGAATATATTCCAGAGATCTAAGCATTTAAATTCAAGAAAAGTTTTAGCAATTTCTATTGCTATCAATCATTTACCAGTTTCACCAGTTTTTTTTCAGCAACATTCTATTTTATTTTTCAAATTTCATGCATAAATTGTACCCAATTATGGTTTTAATTTGCATCTCAATAAGAGGTAGTAAAGTTGAACATTTTCTTATGTCTGTTTGCTACTT